AGAGATGGCTCAGTGGTTAAGAGCACTAGCTGTTCTTACAGAAGACCTGGGTTCAGTTCCTAGCACCCACAGGGCAGCTTACAACTTGTCTGCAACTCCAGTTCCAGGGGCATCTGACACCCTCTTCTGGCCTCTGCAGGCATTGTATGTATGTGGTGCAGTTATATACATGCAGGCAAAACAATGCTCAAACACATACAAATAAAAATAAATAATAAAAAAGAACAACAACAAAAGTAACAGAGGGAGGCTTGGAGTATTAAGTTAGGACGGGGAGGGTCACATCTGTGCTTCATATTCTACAAGGCTGATTAATTAGAACTTCAATGATTGTGGAGAGTTAGAATGTTGCAGATCTAGAGCCAAATTATCTTGAGCAATCTTAGCCTCTAAACAGCCATTTATTGCCCACGTCTGTGTGTGATCTTACACAACTATCCCTGAAACCTTCTGGAAAGTACTAACTCAGCATAGCCTTAGCTTCCACCAGCCCAAAGCTACGGGAGGGTGTGGAGTGTGCAATGTGTGGGGGTCAGAGGACAACTAGTGAGAGTTAGTTTTCTTCTTTCTTGCTATGTGGGTCTCAGGGATAGAACTCAGGTTTTCAGGGTTGGTGGCAAGAACCTTTACTTGCTGAGCCATCTTACCAGCCAAAATCATAGCTGAGGCTGTCCTGGAACTCATGATCCTTCTGCCTCTGCCTCTGCCTCTGTATTCTGTATGGTACTAGCACACAGCACCAGGAGTGGCCTAAAATTCTTTTTTTAATTGAATTTTTAAATTTGTTATTTATTTTTATTTTTGTGTTTTGTGTGCGTGTATCTAAGTGCACCTGTGTGTGCAATGTAGCGTGTAGGTTGTTAGCTGCCATGTGGGTGCTGGGAATCAAACCTGGGTCCTCTGCAAGAGCAGCCAGTGGCTCTTACCTGGCTCATCTCTGGAGGCCCTAAAATTTTTTTCTGCTCTGAAGCCAAGATTCCAACTTTACCTGACTTGCAATCCCTAAAAGATTAAGTAATCAGGCTGCTGTGAACAACAGAGCCTTGGTCCTCATCACATCCAACATCCCATTAGTTTCCACCCCAGGGGCAGAGTCCCCAGTCTGCGGGCCCCAGGCTGAGGACCCCTTTCTAACCCGGGTGAGCTGTATATTGATCAACCTCATTGCAAAACTGTCAATCAGAAACTCGCTCCCAGCGCCCGGGTGTCTGCTGCCCCCGTGTAGTCACACGGTGGTACTGCACGCCTTCTGCTTTGCCAGTGGGCATGGATCCCGAATGGCGCCCCCTGGCATCGTGCAAGGAAGCAGCCGCTGATCACTGAGTGATCCCGGCAGGTGGTCCCTAGTACCCAGCAGAGGGAAAACTCAAGATTGCACAGCACCATAGGGCACACTTGGCCTTGAACCTGATGCTGACAGAAGAGAGAGAAGGGGAAGGGAGGGTAGGGCCTGGGGCTGAGGGCAGAGGGGTCCCAGGTGAGGGAGCTAAGTTGGGGCTTCTCCCACAAAACACCTGCTACACTCAGGCCCAAACTAAAAGGCATTTCCCTCCCCGCTTCCTTTCCTCTTTCCCTTCTTCCATTTCTTTTCTCCTTCCCCCTCTTTTCACTCCTTTCTCCCTCCCTCCCCAACACCATGTCTGGCAGGTAGGCTAAGGTTGATTCTAAAGCATGCTCTGGATGTTCCCCAGAGGCCCCCAGGCACATGGAACCCCAGCCACCCAAAGCCCAAACCTGTTCATTAACACACCTGCTTTGACTGGGCTACAGTGTGAGGCTGTTTGGGAAAAGAAAAAAAGAAAAAGAATGGATGCGGTGGTGCATACCTGTAATTCTAGCAGTTGGGACGTGAAGACCGAGGGATCAAGAGTTCAAGATCAGCTGGGCTTGGTGGCACAGACCTTTAATCCCAGCACCATCCAGAGAGGTAGAGGCAGGTAGATCTCTTTGAGTTCCAGGTCAGCCTGGTCTATATAGTATGGCTATAGGAGACCCTGTCTCAATAAATAAATAAACAAACAAATAATAAATAAATAAGTAAATAAATAAGCAAATAAATAAATAAACTGGAGAGATGACTCATCAGTTAATAGCTGCTCTTGTAGAGGACCCAGCTTCAGTTTCCAGCACCCACATGGCAGCTAACCACCATCCGTAACTCCAGTTTCCAGGGATCTGACACCCTTTTCTGACCTCTGCGGGCATTGTATGCATGTGGTACCTTTATATACATGCAAACACTTTTACACATAAAATTAAAAAAAAAAATAGCCAGGCCAAGTGTGGTGGTGTGCCTTTAATCCCAGCATTTGGGAGGCAGGGGCAGGTATATCTCTGAATTGGAGGCCAGCCTGGTCTCCATAGTGAATTCCAGGTCTGCCAGAGTTTCATAGTGAGACCTTGTCAATAAATAAATAAATAGTTCAAGTTGGTTATATAGCCAGTTTGAGGTCAGCTCGGGCTACATGAGACCCTATCTCAAAAAAAGAGAAAGAAAAAAGAAAAGAAAAGGAGAGAGGAAAGAGAGAGAGAGAGAGAGAGAGAGAGAGAGAGAATGAATCAGATCAGTCCTCTAGTTTCTGTCATGATGTAGCCAGACTTAGGCTGAGGCCTCAGTGGAGCAGGAAGGGGGGAGCAGGGAAAGGAGGTAGCCTCTCTGGTGACACCTGGGTCCCCATGACAACTGTACCCTCACCCTGTGGCATCTGTGACATCACCCAGCCTCTCCTGGCTGAAGGAATGGATGGAGGCCAAACATGGAGGCCGCTCCCCAGGTCAGATCGGGCCTCCTCAAGACTCTGCTGCAGGTTGGAAAGCTCTCCGCTATGGTAAGTAGTAAGCATAGCCTGACAGGGAACATCCTCTCAGCCCTTACCAGCCACCTCCCATTGTCAGAACCCAGTCCATCCTGCAGTGATCTAGTGGATGCCTTTGATGCCTCTGAAGGAATCTGAGAACTCTTAGAGCCCCCCCCACAACAAGCCCAACAAGTCACAGTGCCAGATTGTCTTTCCCTCATCCTTCCTTCCTTCCCTCCTTTCCTCCCCCTTCTTTCCTCCCTCCCTCCTCCCTCTCTCCCTCCCTCCCTCCCTCCC